CTTGTTGACTACATTCTGCCCTTGCTGCCTAGAAAAACTAGTTACTTTGGTGAAAGTTTTAAACCTTTCTTTTAAAGAGGAGTTATTTCTTTTAAAATAAACATGATATTAACAGCATTTGATGCCTTAGTTTAATAGAGGGGTGTCAAACTCACATCCTCACGGTGGTATCGCATGACATATCGGGGCTTTTCCCCCCTTCGCTAAATCAGGCATGGCCAGTGTGTAACGCATCCCGCCCATGGGTTTGACAGCCCTGGCCTAATACAATAATTAGTGGTAGTTTCCTGTCTATTTACCTTGCATATAGAAAAACTTTATTTAGATTGATATTGAAATGGGAAAATTGGGTATAAGCTGACATATAATTAATTGCCTCTTTTTATGTATGTAGTATATACATCAGTGGTGGGTTGCAAATTTTTTTACTACTTGTTCAGTGGCACTCCCATGCATACTCGTGTGTGTGATGCCTCCATTCATATGCAGAAACTTCTGCACATGCGCAGAAGCATCTAGGTGGGTGGGCGGAGCCTCCAGCTGCAGCTACTACCAGTTTGTCCAATCTGGGCCGAACCAGGAACAACCCACCTCTGATATAAATGTAGGGAAGATATGAAAAAACTGCAGCAGAGGTACATAATATAATGCCTAATTGATGCCTAGGACCAATTGTTACCAATATTCAGCAGCAAGGAATTTTTGAATTTGCAAACCTCATGAATCCATCAGCTAGTAGCAGACTCTAGTCTTTAAAGAACAAAATAAACCAACTTTTGATCATTATAGCACTATGTTGCATTTTCATTTCCCCATCTAAATGGAACGTGTGTTGATAAAATTTGAAGCAACTATATATCTCATTTAAAATAAAATAAAATTGCATAACTGAGCTACTTTGTAAATTGAATTGTGAAGGTGATCTGCAGCTGTTTGCAGTTTTGAAGAGCGAGGAAAGGGTGGGACTAGAAAATGCTTCCATATGCAATTAACTCTGAGATTTTAAGGCAAGAAGGAGATTTTTTTTCTCCCACCACTGATTGCTATCCGTTCCTTCCAATTCTTGATTTCTAAAATGAGAAGTGCAACAGCTTAATTGCCTTGAAGTTATACTCTGACTGCAAAGTCTGCTCTTGATAGATGGATAGGAAGGGAAGAGAGAGAAAAAGAGCTATTTCCTTCTCAGTGGAACTAGTAATTTGCATCTGCTCAGGTTGGCTCTTTTTATTAATAACTCCAGGGGGCTTTCATGTTTGAAATTATCCCTAACAAAAATGGATAATTTATGAATGTCAATATGATCTGCCATAATCCTGCACATCCCAGACTAACCTTCCATAACCTTGGAACTCTTTGCTACTCATACTTTAACTGCCAGCATTATCCACTAATGTCATGGGGGCAAGGAGAATTTTGTGAAGTGAAGTTAAATATCTAGAGGACTTCATCATTGGAAATGGTTGTTTAGATAAATAGGCAGATTACATTGATCTGATTTGCAACTTTTATTCATCTTCAATGTTGCAAGCCAATTTTCAATTTTAACAGTATGTGAAACAGTTCTTCATGTAGTATAAACTAAAATATTTTAATAAATGCCTATCCGTCACATCATAATTCAGAATGAATCTTTCAGTATAAGTATTTTACTCATACATTTTTTTAAAAAATAAACAATCCCTGGAAAATATGTCTTCAGGAATTTATAATCTAAAAGAGAACATACAGAAACCTTCATGGGAAAATAGGGCAGCATGATCAACATTTCGGCACAACTCAGGTGATAAACACTTTTTTGGAAGTGGCATCCACTATTTGAACCCATTGCCCCTCTTCCGGGGATATGCCTAAATATCTAAATAAGCAGATTTGACCTCCTGAGATTAGAAACACAATTCTATTTCTTCCTTACATAACTTATTCTTTTAAGAGCAATTCTATATTCTGCTCTATTTATATGTGAATGTATGCATGCATATTTATTCATATTTTATCTTTGGAGGTGTGCCTAGAGTTTTCTTGGCAATATTTTGGAAATCACTTGTCCTTGCTTTTGCTATGGCTGTGATATGGCTGTGAGTAAGTGTCAGACCCAAGGTCATCCAGGTGACTTTGTGCCTAAGATTGGACTATAATTCACAGTGCGCTGTTAACTAGCCAAGTGACATCAATGATTTCATGAAAACAGGCTCCATATATTGTCTATAACTATATGATTATCAAACAACAATACTTTTTGCATTTTCTATTTTTATTTTTTTGCTGAGAGGTTTTTAAAATCAAGATTATTAATGTGTCATAAATCATTAATATTATAATAATACACATAAAAGACTTGAAATATACATTATTTTGGTATAATAAGAAATAGTTTATGATATATCTTAATCTTGTTTTCACTGAATTAACTAATGTTTAAAGTAGCTCCGCTTTCCAGTGTTCTGATGTTACATTGAATTCTGTTTATATAAATGAAAGCAGAATTTCGCAATTTGTTTCCTTTCTTTTCAAAAGAGGAAGAGGAAAGTTGTGAGAGCTTTCACACCCAAAATTTTCTATTGCATATTCAGGAAGCATAGAACCTTGAGTGAAGGGGTTATATATGAACATCATCATAATCCAGAATTTGTTTGTTCTTACCTACATTTATGGATCATGGTGAGGCACAATTTCCTATCATTGTATATCTAATGTTAGGAAACATTTGGTCTGTATGCCAAACTGAACATATACAAAGCTAGTTTTCTAATTCAGATTAGAAAATAATTACAAATGATAATATTGCCTAATCTTAATTTGCCAAATGAGACAGGAAATTAAATTGGTAAATTTAAAATATAACCCGTGTTCTGGAAGATGGTAGAGCTACTTGTTAATATTTCATAGAAGCCAATATAAAATGGTGTGTGTGTGTGTGTGTGTGTGTGTGTGTGTGTGTNTAGATAGATAGATAGATAGATAGATAGATAGATAGATAGATAGATAGATAGATAGATAGATAGATAGATAGATAGATAGATATAGAATATTATTACTTATAATAATATTAATGAGGACCCGGATTGTTGTTGGGGGCAATATGCTGACTCTGTAAAACCGCTTAGGGCTGAAAGCCCTATGAAGCGGTATATAAGTCTAACTGCTATTGCTATTACTTATTACATAACAATGTCTTCATATGTTTTCCAATTTCTTATTAATATTCACCAATGGGTTGAATATAAGAATAACAATAAATTGATTAAAAATAAGAACATAACACAGTTACCAAAAAAATTCTAAAACATGATATTACATTTTTGGGAATATAACAGTAATAAATTATATGCTGTCCAGTTTCTAGCAGCAATCTCAATATGTGGATTGACAACTATTTAAAAGAAGAATGTATGTAGCTGAGAGTAACTGGACTTCTTGGTGCTCTCTGAGGCTGACTATTTGCTTGCAGATGTTTCATTACTCAACTAGGTAACATTATCAGTGCCTGAATTGCACTGTTGCAGCATTTTCATTGTCATGTGATCAAAATTCAGGCGCTTGACAATTGGCATGTATTTACAACAGTTGCAGCATTCTACTGTACTGATCTGTAACTTTCCCAACTGGCTTGTGACAAGCAAAGTCAATGAAGGAAGATTTGCTTAACATCTACATGGTTTATTTGACAACTGTTGTAAAATGAGGTGCAAGTCATTTAACAAACACCTTCTTAGCAGTATACATTCTGGTCCCAAATCTGGTTCTAGGTTGACTATTCTAGATGGTTTTAGGTATAGCATTTACAGATAACTTGTTAAAATACAATGCAAAGTTTTGTGTATTGCAAATGGAATCAGAAATTAGTTCATGGAATTGTGTGAATTAACCAAACCATCACGGTGATAGGAAATTAATTTAGGTGTACAGAGCAGCAATTGCAATGACGAACAAATTATAATTGTGTTTTCTTGAAACTTTAAAACAAACCATCACATTTCATTAAGCAAATGTAATGTAATTCCCATTCTTTATAAGATTCTAATAATGAATGGAAACAAAAAAAGAAAAAAAGAAAAGTAACCATTATAATGAAGCCAGGGAATGGAGAAGAGATACCAAAAATTTGAAATGGTTATCTTTTCATAGCGTTTCCAAATAATATTGCATTGTGTTGCATTATTCCAAAGAGTTGATTCTTGTGAATCTCATTTCATAGAAACATTAAATATGAGAAAGGAGAGCAGCTGAAATTAATTATGTCTTTGCAAAACTATTAATGAGCTTAAATCTGTAGGTAAACACTTGTTATTATAAAAATACATTTTTATTACGCACAGAAGCATAACGCACATACACATTTCTACTTCAAGATCAATTTGTTCTGGAATTACTAAGACATAACAGTTGGCATCCATGGATGTACAATAAGCATAATGGAAATGATTTAAACATTTGTGAGATTCTTTATTTTGGAGTTAAGCCTTCAAAAAAGGACAAAGCACCAGAACAAAGTGGATAGAATAATAAGACAGCAAACACTTGCTGGTGCACAGAAATTATTGTACATCTCAGTCAGCGTTTTTTGTAACTTGCACACATTAATGTGTCATTTCTGTCTCACTGGGCATAGAAAGAAAATAGAATTCACAAAATGCATTAAGAGTTTGGTTTATGGATAAGGTCTCCCTCCTTTTCTCTATATATCTTTGTTTATGTTTGTTTGCACAGAGTATGTTTGGCACAGGAATGAACTAACTTAATCAGATGAGATGAGAACATTGTTGTAATGAAAAGCTATACCCTTGGAGTTGCATTACCTACTGTCTATGCTTCCTTAAGATAGTATCTGATTGGGCCAGATCCCTGCTCTGGTATATAATGTTTTGAAATGCCTGTACTTGCTGGCTGATAAACAGCTTTCTTTTATGGAAAGCTGTGAGAGGTTGATAATGAGGTTTTATATCATTGCTCACTGTACAGCTATCTGAAGTCAACAACATCAAAAAAGAATAGCCCACTACCTCAATTTGCGTAGTATTATCATGTGTGTCATCAGGAAGTAGATCTGTAAAACCTCCATGTTCTGAGGAGTCCTGTCCTATGCTGGCTCTGTTGGTGTCCACTGATTTGAGCAATTCCGAATGTCGTTTCCATCTGTGGCTATATCTGTAGGAGTCCATGTGCACTTTTTCCTCCACTCGAGGGAAGCTCTGAACCATTTCATAAAATGCACCTATCAGATAAAGAGATAAGATAGGATTCTTAATGAAGATAAAAAGAAGTCAAAGATATTTCGTTTTTCTTATTTTGGGAACCTGGAATCCTGCTAAGGGTTTCTGAAAGCCACTCATGGTGTTTTTCAGAATATGCTACTCCAGGGCTGTCAAATTTGTGGCTTGTGGGCCGGATGCGTCATGCCCTGGCCACGCCTATGCCTGGTTTAGCGAAGGGGAAAAAAGTCACGATACATCACATGACACCATTATGACAATGTGAGTTTGACACCCTATGCTATTCCATTCATCTTCCTTCTCTAGTTTTCCAACCCTCCCTATTCATCCTGTCTTTACTATTTCACAATCACTAGCATTCATTTTCCTGTCTATGAGAAGTATTCAATGAATGAAAATGTGCTGCACTTCAGATTTGAAGCTGAATAGATGATCTGAAGTGGAGATGAGTCAGTATATCCACAAAGAAGCTAAAGAAAATATATAGTGGAGCTTTGGAAGTTGACACAATATTGGCACCTCCTTAACTGAAATATATCTTTTCCTGGGATCATGCAGCCTTTCTCCAACTCTTCCAAAAGGTTTAATAAGGTTCACCAGTCACCTTCTGCTCAGATTCAAAACACAACACCTCCAATTCCCACAGTTTTGAATAATGGCATAGTGGCTATATTAATATTAACATGGCCTGTAGTTGATATTAGAACAGCTGATAAAATTCTAGTAGAATTCTTGATTTTTAGAATAAGAATGGCCAGCCTTTTGGGCTTGGGGACCTTAAAGACCGATGAATAAATAACACTGTAATATCACACCTGTGGGAGGAGGCAACATTTTCATTTTTCTTTCTTTCTAAAGATTGTGAAGAAGTTAACCAGCAGTCTTGAAAAATCTGAAAGAACTCTTTTGTCCCTTATATCATTCACGAATTGGAACCAATCTACTTAGGATGGGAACAATTTAGGATTTTAAAAGGGTTCCATTAATGAATTAAACATTGGAAAGGCTTAATGCACCCATTCAGATCCCACCTACTCCCACACACAAATAATCCAAAATTTCAGAATAGCTACATCTGAATGGAATTTGAGGTGTAGATTACAACTTATCTTCTCCAACTCAGAACTAACCAAACTGACAGACAATGGTTTCAGAGAGAATATAATCGTGTCTAGCCAAGTATGACTATATTTTTCTGTAGGTCTTTTCTAATATCCAACCACAAAGTGTTACAACATAACTTGTGTTTCCTCTTTGTTGAGCCTATTAATAGCCCTAACACAGCTCACCGTAGTGCATACACTTATGACATTTACTACAAAACTACACATTTTGGTCACATACATTTTTTCTTATGTTGTTTAATTTGATGCATTCCTAGAGAAGACAGATTTATGAACTTTATCATATCCCAGCTCAAATATAAATGAACTTGGTCAAAGTCATCCCAAAGTGAACTCAATTTTCTCCATACCTATGTGATTTTGACTGGTGTAATAGATGGATGTGTGTAAGAATTAATGAACAATATTTCATCATAGATCTGGTGGGATTATATTTTATGACAAAATGCAAATTAAACTTAATAGTGAATAAACAAACTTTTAGAGCAATCCATGTCAGAAATATTTAATGAAAACAAACAAAGCCAAGCTAAACTAAAAGAAATATTCAACAATTATCGTAGATAAGACTACAAGGACTGAATGCATTACTGGAAGTTCCACAATCTGGGTGTATAAAATAATATACCAGCAAATCCACTGATCATTCAACACTCAAAATAATGTGTTATTTGCATTAAATTCTTTAAAAATATTTTTCACCTGAAAATACTTAACTGCAGGAAATGAAAATATTTAATTGTAAGAAAACTTAGTACAGAATGATTTGGACTAGTATGCAGGGAAAGTATAGGTGCCTTTATGTACAAACAAACTCCACAACTTGTAAGAAGAAAAGACCCCTCCCTGAACTACAAATTCTGCACTTCTTTCTTTCTTTCTTTGAAGAAAGTGCAGCAAATGACCTTTCCTGTTGGAAAGACCTTAGCCTTGTAGGGAAATTAACAAAGGACCTGCCAGAGTTAATAGAGAATATCTTCAAATCCAGCATTCAATTAGCACAGCAATGTCATTCAACTTCATTGGAAACAGCGAAGACATTAACGAATAATTCAGTCATAAGGGAAATACACTGACTAATTAAAACTTGCCTAGCACCTTATATGGGCTGAGCCAGTGCTTTTATAATACTGCAAGCATTAGGTCAAACATGTACATCATCAGTGTCTTCCCATCACATGAGGAAATACATCATGAAGTTGTTACGGCAAATATATCAGGGCAGTGTCTTGAGAAAAAGAAAGATTAGAAACAAGGGGTACATAATGAATATGTAATTAAGCCTGCTTTTTTGCTCTAATGATTTCAGCAGCTGTCCTTGAGAGGTTTGTATGAAATTAGGAAAGAAAATGATTAGGTGGCAATTTTATTCACCGCTTAGGTTGAATTTGAATTAAGACTGAAGCCCTTCATTACACAAAGAGAAAGAGAATGAGTGAAGAAGCAGTTCTGATCACTTCTTACTATTTTGAGACCAGTCAGAATTAATGAATGAGTTGTTGCATGCATTCTGGACCACTTATGCTTGCTGTTGATCACTCCAGGTCTTTGCAGTCATCGCAATCAATGAGAAGTACTATAGCAAGAATGCACGTATTATAATTCACTCAGTCCAGGAAGTCTTGAAAAGAATATTTTAACAGAGGGGCTGAGGTGAATGGAAAGAAACTGCTATTAAAAAAAATATAATAGCTGTTGGCAAGGCCTTATTGAGCCTCAAAAGGCATTTGTACCAAGTCACTTCCTGCTAAAACTAAAATAGGAATAGAAAACACATAGGGTCAAAGAAAGTGAAATAAACTTTAACTAGAAAAGAGATGATTAATTTGTTTTCCAGAGTCATTCTTCCCAAAGCTTGGGTTTCTTCCATTTAGTTACCATTATTGTGATTTTTTTTTAATGGTGCTTTCTTCCATGCTGCTTACTTTATCCTGCTGTTTTTATAGTTTATGGCTTCAAATTACTTTTTTGTTACTCTGTACTGTATTTACTGTACTGTATTTCTATTTTTAAATCAAAATTTAATTTATTTTACATTACCTATTAAACAAATAATTATATATACATACACACACACAAAAAAATACACACATAAATACATACATACATACATACATACATACATACATACATACATACATACGTCAATTTGTAATTTTTTATTCTCTATTTAAGGACTAACATGAGAGATAAAGAATTGACAATTCTCACAACTGGGAATAAAGAATGGGATCTCTCTTAATTTGTTCAAGAACAATCTTGAGGTGGAAGGAGCAATTAATGACACAATATTATTTAGACTGTTTAAAGCAAAAAGAAGATAAATGTAACTGTGTTTTTAGGTTTTAACTGTTGTGATACTGTCTCTTTGTTTATTTATTTTCTATAGCCACCCATCTCAGTTAATGACTCTGAGTGGTGAGTTTAATTCACGCTCAGAGTCAATTGGATTGAGATGGGTATTATAGAAACTAAATAAATAAAAATAAAATAGATGCTCATATACACAAGAAGGAAATCAAATCGATAACGACTAGCTTAGTGAATAGTTTGATTAATCATCCGGCTCTGGTTTCTACCTTTCTAATGCAACTGGAAAAGATACACAAACGGTAGCAAAAATGATCAGGGTCTGGATCAGTAGTTGTGCAGGAAGAATATATAACTTTCAAGATTTTAAATGTAGTTACAAAATGACATAAGGAATGAATGCAACAGATGTACCAGTTGATGCCAAGGTGCCAAGAAAATAATAAGAAATTCTTCACTATTCAAAATAATTAAGTGTGTTTTGGGGAGGGGAGTGAGCTAGAGCGAGAGATAAGGGATCAGAAGAATATAGAACATGTGTGTTGATTAAATTTTAGATTTATTGGTCTGCTTCTTTTTATTACCTTCTAGAACATAGACTTGCTACAGTTTCATTTGAAGAACTCCATATAAATGACAATAAAAGCAAGGAGAGGGTGCTTACTATCAAGAATGATAATTCACTACCCAGGTGGAACTCATCTCACAAGAGTCAATAATTTCTTGCTGGTTTGCTCTTACATCGATAGAATTAATCACAAAATGTATAAAAGGCAAACAGAGCATCACAGTGGAAAAAATAAAATCTACTCCAAATCAGCTATGCTTCCTGGATACATTCATATACTTTTCTCAGCAGTAATATGAAAACAGTTTGCATTGTTATAGGATGTTTTTCAATTTCACAATCTAGCCTATTGCCCTGGTATTCCTTGGTTACTTTCCATTTAAGTCCTGTGCTAAGCAGGTGTAACTTCCTGTTGAGGCAGAAATGCTGAAAGCTGTATTTAGTTTTTAAAATCCAATAATCTGATAAGCAAGGTTACACAGATCATCCTTTGAAAATGTTTTTCTGCAAATAAGACAGGCAGCATTTTTTCAGAAGGTGAAAATTCTGACATCAATAAAAAATATTTACATAATTCTGTGAGGCCCTCCAGGGTTCTATTTTCAGCCACGATGACGTCCTGCAACTCTCTAACAAAAACGGAACTCAGGGAGTCTGTACAAGGCTCTCCTAGGTTCCATTTTTGGCTGCAACAGTCTCCTGAAGCCCTGTGGCAATGAAAATGGAGCCTGTGAGGGCCGCATGCGGCTCTGCCAGACTCCGTTTTCACTGGCAGAGGACTGCAGTTTTTCCAACATGGCAAAAACAGAGCCATGATGAGTGATGTCGAGCTGGCCATGCCCATCCTGTCCATGTCTCCCTGGCTCTCCGAGGTCAAATGCAGCCCTCAATGAAATTGAACTTGACACCCCTGGTGTAGAGGTTAAGGCACCACATAGAAACCAGGAGAACATGAGTTCCAGTCCTGCTGAGGCATAAAGCCAGCTAGGTGACCTTGGCA